GGAGTGCATTGACGATTTTTTCTCAACTCGCAAAAATCTTCAAACAATTTGCTACCAATTGGTGATAAAATTTTTTGGAAATAATGAAGGGGATAACGCCTTTTTTTTCAGGGGTGATTTTTCAAAAATTTATTTTAAAAAAAGTACTAACTAGCAAATGTTTTTTATTAGCTCGCAATTTTCTTCAAAACTACTTCAATGAGGAAAAAAATAAAAATTTGGAATATCTATCATGAGGGGCTAATTGATCGATCTTTTTTTTCTTTCGACATTTCTGTTGTCTCATCACACAAGGGTCACAAGCATCACCTTGGGATGCCTGGTCCGAACATCATTACCTGCAGATGGCAGTTGGCAGTATAAAAACCATGAAAATTTGAAGGTTAACTGGATGACAACGTGTTTGAAATTGAATGTAAATAAGTAATAGCACAAAGTTGATTCTTGTGGTCTAAAATGTTTCATGCATAAGTTTTCAAAAGTTTAATTATCAACTTTAATTAATTTCCAGCATCAGCACGACAATGGCTCAAAATTTACTGAGTTTAGCAGAGAAAACGTTCATTCTCCATGGTGTTGATGTAAGTTGACATAAATTTAAAATCAAATAACAGTCATGAAAGTGCAATTACTTCTAGAATTTACGAATTCCATTAATTAATTCATCATCCATTGTAGTTTACCAACTCCGAGCGATCCCCAACTATCCAATAATTACGATGTTCCTCTCCTACATAATTGTTCACATTTTTTATTTGTTATTTTAATTTTTTAATTCCGATCCAATAGCACTATGCTAATTATAGGATCAAACAATGTATAACAAATTATAACACACCTATTTCATTTTATTTTATTCAACATGAGTGGATCATATGACTGATCCACCTCAAAAAATTTAAGGATATATGTGAAAATAGAAACAATACCTCACGAATCGAGAAATTCAAATAACGAGAAATTTTGTTCAGGGAGATTTTCGAACGGATGGCCGCTCTCGATTAGAATACCGTGCATTAGAGATCGAAACGAATATAATGCCACAGACGAATGGCTCAGTTCGTCTGAGGATAGCAAATACTGACGTTCTCGTGACCGTCAAAGTTGAAGTGGACACTCCATCGCTTGATCGGCCGAACGAAGGAAAACTTGAATTCTTTGTTGATTGGTAAAAAATAGACACTTCTCCCCGAAGATTTCCAAAAACTACAGAGTATTTTTGCAACTTGTTCTCCTGTTTTAGTTCAGCAAATGCAACACCAGAATTCGAAGGCAAAGGTGGTGAGGAGCTAGGCACCGAGATCAGTAATGTATTGTCGAACGCTTATCAATCGTCCCATGCTCTAGACCTGACGATACTGAGTATTTTGCCTAACAAAAAATGTTGGAAGATGTATGTCGACGTGTTGGTAAGTGGCAAAATGGTGACTAAAATTTTTTTGCATGAAAATAAAAATTCTCCCATTTCATTAATAATTCAATGAACTATTGATATTTAAAAAAAAAATGTAAAATGTGTCTGTTTTGTCTCGATGAACAATTGTTCGTAGATTCTTCAATGCGATGGGAATTTATTCGACGCTATTGGAGCAGCTGTCAAATGCGCTCTTTTCGCCACGGAAATACCCAAAGTCGCTACAGCCTCAGTAGATGGTGACGACGCAGACATTCAGCTGTCAGATGATCCATTCGATTGCGTCAAATTGAATGTTGAAAATTATCCAGTACTCGTGACTTTATGCAAAGTAAGAACGAACGATGATTATTTATGTCACAAATTCATCAATTATTGAATGAAATAATTGAATTTTTTCTCCTCACTTGTTACTTCATAGATTGGAGATAACTGTGTGGTGGACCCAACTGCAGATGAAGAGATGTGTGCAGCTGCTAACATCGTCATATCAGTGACACCGAAGGGAAGAGTCACCTCAATTGTGAAAACTGGATATGGAAGTCTTCAACCATCAACACTGCTAAAGACCCTTGAGGTAATTATTCTTCATATAATAAACGAAATATTAGAAAATTTAATTTCGAGTTGAGTTATTCATTTAATTATTTTGACAGTGTGGAAAAGAAATTGGTAAGAGATTGAATGAGAGACTGATGGAGGCATTGAGGAAAGAAGAAGCTCTCGGACCACAACGTCCAGTCTTTGGTTTTCTCGGATAATATACCGAGATTTTTTTCCAATGGATAATTCAGTTTGTACTATTTTATTTAAGAACAAAAAAAGAATGACTCATTTGGGTAACAAAATGGTACAAACAATTTATTTAAATAATTTACTACAATATGTTTAATTCTCTTCTCGTTACTTTATCAATATATTTCAACAATATCCCAATATTTTTGCCGTAAGGAACCTTAATAGAATCATCCTCCATGGCATTTAAATCATCAACACTAGGAACTACATGCACTGAAGGTCTTTTTACGGAAGAATTCCATATGCTTAGACATTTAACCCACACAACCTCTCCATTGTAGTGAAAAACAGTTTTATACAGATTTATACAGCACTCTTGCAATACAGGATGTTGATGTGAATGCAGATAAGGCTCTGTCATATCTAATAGCTGCCAGAGTTGTCTTTCCTGAAGCTTCAAACACTTGGCCATTGTACCTAGTTGCGACAAGATCATTCTTTGGAGTTTAAACATCTGCGTAAATTTATGAGCGTGTTGGCTATCCTTCCCGTAACTCTCTTTAGCCGAAATCTCCAAAAACTTTGCAATGGCAGGACTGACTTTATCGAGAGTGCGAGATCGTACGAAATCCTCTGATGCCTGAGCAACAGTGAAGAGAAGCTGCCACGCACGATTCATAATTAAGACATTAGATTCTTTGAAGCGATCCACCAATGGATGCCACAGCAGATGAACAATCGGTAGTAGCTGATCCGTCCAGGGAGATAAAATGTCCAGTCCACCTTGGAGTATCTCCATGGCTATCAGTGTCTCTGGGATCTTTCTCGATGGCACAAAATTGAGACTGCACTTTATAACATCTTCTACTAGCTTGATGTATGGTGGAACTTTCGTTTCGTGAGAGTCTCCTCCTGAATCAGCATATGCAGAGCCTTCTTCATAATTTTTATCATCGAACTCTATTTCTCTTTCATTTTCAGGGATTTCTGAGTCATCGTCCACCATCTTATCAACCTTTTTAGCTTCGTGATACTCGATCAAAGAATGAATCACCCTTTCAGCAATATTTTCTGATATTCTGACATTATCCTCCTTAAGTTCTTGATCACAAACTTGTCGTCTGATACACAAAACAAAAGTATACAACACTTTCAATATCGAATGGGAATTGCTCCCCTGAGTCGCAACTTTCAGCTGTCCCAATGCTTCAGCAACAATTTCCTTCAAACATGGAAGAAAATCTAGAGTGCTGTACTTCATGACGATCGTCACAACATCCAGCACCCCGAGATTCCTCTCAACCCTTCGTAATTTAACAGTAACATGGTAGGAAATGTAATCTACATTATCACGAAGTAAATTCGTGATTTCAGTGTATCCCTGGGATTTAGCGAACTCTTCTAGAGTATGAAGACCAATGGAGCTAATCAACCGGTTCTTATTCCCAGCTCTTTCGATGATTAGGTACAGGGTCTTGAGCAAAAACTGCTGGTACTCTTCCCTCAGTATCGAAGCGAATATTCCGAGAGCCTCCATCAGGAGACAATTCTGTACGATATTACTTTGGACTTGTGAGAGAGTAGTCTCGTCTTCCATTTCAATCGGCAGGTACCACAACTCATCATCGACGTAGTGATTGATAACTTGAGGATACAGAGTCTTGAGTGTGGGATTGGGTGCCATGCATATCCAATTGAGCAGCAACGTCTGTTCCTTCTGGTAGTGTGGCATGTCGGACATCAATTGGATTATGCTGTCAACCAGGATCTCCACATCCCCCAGCTCTCCCAGCAATTTACAAACGATTATTAATTTATCGTGGACTGCTGAGTCTAGTATAAACTTGAATTTTTTCCACGATGTCGTTGATAAATGGGCAGTATCTTCGATGGTTGTTATGTGATTTTCGTCAAGTATCGAAACCTCACGACAATCCAATTCAATGACATAGATAAGGGCTAGGAGCAGGCGTCTAAGATGAGCCATCGAGCTCATGATCTTTGGTAAACGTTCCTCCCCAAATATCCTCAAGTATCCAGTCAATTGGTTCAAATAGGCTAGCTGAGCAGCACTCTCCGATCTCCTCATGATCCTGGGGAGTTTTGTCAGTAACCTGTAGAAGTTTTCCTCCAACAACGAAGTTATCGATCTCATTCGGAGATTGGAAACGATCGCATGATTTATTTCATTCAAACAAGTTTTTGCTGGCTCTCTCACTGCGTCTTCGTCATCTTCGGATAGTGCAATCACCACGTCGACCAAATGAGGAACACTTTCACTCAGGTTTTTGGTACATTTCGTTATTAATAAAGAAACTGTTGAGAGGAGTTCTCTTCTGACTTTGTGATGCGAATGTTTCGTTAAATTGGAGAGATTTTTTAAGGGATTGCTGAGTTTTTCAGACGCTGCCTCCAACCACTCGACATTTCGGACCATCTGCAGGTACTTTTCCGTTTCGTTTTGACCATTGAGCTTCAATTGCATTCCCAGCGGATCAGGGGAGCTAGAGGCGTTTGAGGTAGTGATTGGCATTGGGAAAGTGGGTGCAGAGTTTTCAGGTGATGAATCTTCCATGACGAGAGAGATGACTCTACCCAGTGCTCTGATTGCCATCTGAAAGTATTATTACAATTGGAATTTTGAGTTGATTGGACACCTTAAAATTTTTTAAACATTAAAACGTAATTCAATTGTTGATGAAATATACGCATCTTTCTCCTTGTAATAATCCCAGATTTCTCAATTAATCAATTTATGACATACTAAAGAACTAAAAAAAAATGTGACATACTAGAAATTTGTGACATACTAGGGAACTAAAAAAAAAAAGATGAATATCATACCAAAATGACTTTATGATTCTGAGTCTCACTCCCCTCAGCAATATCCAACATTCCACGAACAATCCCAGGTAAGTACAGCATGACTACATCTGCAACTTGACTCCTCAAAACTACATCAGACGTGTCAGCTTCATCATGAACGTACGATAGAGTCATTAAAGTGTCAATTGCAGCAATCCTCAATGTTGAATACTTCTCACTCTTGGCGATGGAGACACAGAGGAAGAAACTCTCACTGAGCTTCAGTGAATTATCTCGAGTGTAAATTAATTCTATGACGTCGGACGATGCAGATAAGAATAAATATTTCAGACAGTGCATTACACTCAATTTCAGTTCTTCGTGTTCTGGAATTACTGTTAAACATTAATCAAGAGTGAGACAATTGTCTTGGCTTTTATGTATTGAGTCTATTCGGAATTGTAACTCACACACAGTTGGCTGATTTGTATCCTGCACTTGACGAAGAAGAATTGAATACAGTTTGAAGAATAATTCAATTTTCATGACTCTTACTTCACTCAGGGCTGCCTCTATTACACTGAGAAGATGTAATCTTGTCTCTGTGCTGAAAATCAATGCCAGGAGTTTAAAAAACTATGCAGGGTGATTACAAATGCATTGATTAAGCAAATAAATAAATAAATAAATTGAGTGAATGAAGAAATATCATAAATAAATTACCTGACATCATCACTTCCCAAATGTATGATAGGAGGAAACAATACGTAATCCAAGAGATTCTGTAAAGTGGACTTGGAAAATTTCCTTAGGCAATTGCAAATATTCTCAGCATTCTGCTTATTAGGACTCTTGACTAACAAATCACAGAGTGGTTTGAGGTTGAAAAAAGCCTCATGCGTTGTCATTTCATTCATGTTCTGACACAATATCTTCCAGAGGCCATCAAATCACAAAAACTTCTCATCCCCACAACCTTGACAAATTGATATTTACGTGCGAACCGAGTTTTGAAAATCCCCTAAACAAAATGCAATACCACGCAATTGCTCTAGAAAATATTGATATTGTCAACCAGGTGTTCCGTTAGTTATTCGGCCGGCTCGCTGCTGAATTGGCATTGCAGGGACATCTGTAGGATCTCGAAAACAACTATTAAATATCACGATTGATCTCCCGTGGGTTAAAAAATACATTGACTCTTTTATTTTTTTATGAACAGGGATAATTAGCTTTCCAGTGAAAAGTGCAATTCTTCCTTCTTGTGATGAGCCTAGACCGAGTTTGATTGATTGCTTTGTTTCTAATTTATGAAGATTGAAAGAAAAGTTATGTATTAAGTGTTCATTTTCCCCCATCCCCCCACATAAATTAATGAAAACAAAAATATTAAAGAAGAATAAACGAACATTATTTATTTCAAAAACCCAATGTCCCTCATTTTCAAACGAACAATTTGTTTATATCAACAACACTGACAGACCTTTCCTCCATGAAGTTGATGAGATACCTCGATACCTTCCTATAAGCCTCAATAATCTCCGGCCTTAATCTCTTCCTGACGACTTCTGCCTGAGCATCAACATCGAACCATGTTCTGAGAAGATTAACGCGTCCATAGCAAGCGGCCACAGGCAAATCCCTTCGAAACTCACTATTTAACTTGCACTTGGGGCACGTTTTAGGCATCGTTTTTGTTTTCTCAGTCACCCAATCACATTTATTAAATGTGCACATGATTTTGGGGGGATGCTTCTCCATGAAATCAACGATGTGGCCCTCCAAATCTAGTATGATTTTATCAACATACTCCCAAGGAGCAACATCGCATTCAGGATTACTGCACGACGACAAAACTGGAATATATCCTCTCCCTTGCTTCCTGTTAAATCCATACATCCCAATACGGCTCCCACAATTTCTGCATTTGAAACAAAATCCCTCAATCGGAATCAACCTCCTCTGACCAGATTTCGCACCGTTGGCACCTGAGTTTTGCCATTCCTTCCTTACTCCCAGAAAATCAGCAAAAAATTCAGCGTGCAACTCTGGAATTGGCTTGAAGAGGGATACGAGTGGTGGTATGAGTTCTTGGATGAAATAATAAAGCAGATCAGGTTTGAGGTTCGTCCCCTTGAGATAAGCTCGTTTTTCTGGAGGGTTATCTGTCTCATCTACGCAGATGATGTAGGAAATAAAGTGTCCCTCTCTCCATGTACCAGGTGCTGTTTTATTCAACCGAATGGCCAGATCCACATGTGCAGCTCTAGTATTGGGACTGTCTTCTGGGTCGTGTAGCAGCTTTTTGGTGATCACTAGGGAAGGGATGACAGCCTCCAACAGTTTATCCCCCCTCATTTTACCAATCTTCTGGAGATAGGCTTCGATGTTGTTGATTTTCTTGTCGTGGCGTTCATCGCTAAATATCTCATTCAGGACATAGTGGACGGTGGTATCAACTAGCTGACAACAATACTTTTCCTTCAGGACTTTACCTTTTGCCTCCAGAACGAGCTGAGTGGAGCCATCAGGGAGATCATCGAAGTAAAGTCCAGTGTATATCTTCTTGTTCGCCATGAGGACACACTTGTAAGTCATCTCATGCTCCAGCTCGATATGTTTGTACTGTGCATTGATAGTCTCCTTGATAGATGTTGCAATGTCTAGGGCCACAGTTCGATCCTTCTGTTTGGTGTTGATCAACACTGAATCTGTATCACCGTAGATGACATTGAACCCTATTGACTCCACAGTGCTCACGGTATTCGTCAGGACTTCCCGACCCTTGGCAGTGATTATCGATGCAATGTTGGGAGTGTAAAATTGATAGAGATGTGAACCCAGGCATCCGTACAGAGTGTTGATTGTGAGTTTTAGAGCCAGTTGTCTGGCTTGATATTTCAGCTTCATTGCTGGTGAGTTGGCTGGGTCTTTTAGCAATCGTTTGGCTTCCTTGCGACTCTCAATAATTCTACCGACTATTCTGGGAAGAATTCCTGTTGGCAGGAAATGCAGGATGTTTATCCACAATTGTGTAACATTCTTGATGATTGAAAAAAATTATCTGCAGTAGCTTTGGAGGAATGAAGTGGATGAATTTTTCTCTGACATTTATTTTCAAATTGATAATTCAACTACTGCAAGCCTGTCGAAATGAAAATAGTAATCGAGGGTAAAGTGAAAAAATATACTGAATCAATTAGAAAAATTTACATCCTCAATAGGAACAATATCTCTAACTTGTTCTCTCGAACATCTCGATGATATTAATTTACTTCGGTTCAAATGACTATCGTAAACATGACATGATCAATAAATCCAAGATAAAAATATTTTACATACCAATTTGAGTAGAATCTTACCCACTGGAGCTTCAGGATTGATTTTAACATCTTCTAAAGGTTTAAAGCAAACCCCTGGCATTGTCGTGAAGCAGAGGTTGTACTCCTGGATGATGCTGGGATAGAGTGACCTGAAGTCCATTAGGATGGCTACATTCTCGTGCAGTCCAACATCAGCCTCCAACACCAAACCTCCCCTGATGTCACAAGTCTTCTTCACCTTGTGCATATCTGGAATGATGTAGCCTGCCTCGTGGAATTCGTGACGCAGCAGGAATTCACTCCTCTCATTCCTGGGAAATACCAGGGCTTTCGATAGCACGTGACCCGCAATTGTCGTCATCTCCACAGCGAGGGGAAGTATATTCATCTGACGAGTTAGCTGAATTATACAGTCAGTCTCCCTCCTGGTGATATTGATAATTTCAAACGTGCCCGCTGGTGAATCAAGGAATTCTTGGATTTTCCAGGAAGGCAACGAATGAAGAGCTCCCACCTCAGTCTTCAATATTATTGAACATATTTTGTCAAAATCTTCCTGATCTAGCTTGGGGTTAATCTCTTTGATGACTACTCTGACGTCACATAGGGGACGATGCAAAACTTTCCTGAGGGTGCGATTCTGGATGTACATTATTTTTCTTACATCGTTCTTAAGTCTGCAGATCCCAGTGTCATTGGGTATTGGCTTGAGGGCCATGATCCCATGCATCAAGTTTATCAAGGATGTCTCACAATCGTAGCCTATGAGAATGTCTGGGTCGAGGGATTTAATCTTCTCGAGAAACTTTTTAAGTAGATCCTCTTTATCAGGACACTCAATGACGTTGATAGATGTGACTGTTTTTACAGAACAATTTTCAGGCCTTCCAACACCATTAACTATGAAGCAGCACTCCTTCGTAACTGGTGATTCAACTGATGTACCAGAAATATCAACATTCATCTGAGTCAACATGTAGATCATGATCACTTCCACCTTTTTTTCAGAGACTCTCGTCCTGATGTTTAGAGTTGTGGAAACCATCGGTGGAATCTCATGTTTTTCCCCATTCTCTTCTTTTACAACCGTGATAGTCTCCATGTCTGAGCACGACACTTGACATTTACACCAAGTTTCATTATCCTGGGGCTTAGCAAACACTGGGAATTTGATCTCCAGCCAGGAGGGACCTTTCATCCCCCTCTCAGTGAGCAGAATCTCTAGGGCATTTGCACAAGTCCCAAAGATGTGCTCGATATCTGATCCCAGATGAGATCTTGGAAGCATGGGGCACGAGGCTGGATATTTAACTTCTATGTAATCAGTCTCCTCTGGGACTTCTTCAATATCGAATGCATATTTTTTCCTGACGACTTTCGGAATGTAATTAATTATTTTGTATTTATAAGCAAGTTTGACAAACTCCTGGGATGCTGAATCCAAAGATTGTGCTGCTTTACTTGGGAGGATAAAAATCCTCCTGGGGATGTTTGTCACGACAACGCAGCATGAGACGTACGTGTTCGTTGATGAAAGGAGGATCTTACCAAAGAGGTAGACTTTTCCAGGTGTGTCACTCTCATTGGCGTCCAAGTAGTAGAATTTCAGGACAGGCTCCCCTGAGGAGTTGACAGTCAGTGCAGAATGGAGATGCTCCGAGTTTATTTGTTGTTGATGAGGATTCCGTTGAGTCCTCATCACTATACTGCTTCTTCAATTGTCTCTCTCCCGAGGCTGGTTGATCGTGGGGAAGCTAAAACGTAAAACACATAATTTTCCATTTTTTAATGAAGAAATGAAAATAATAATTTGAGATTTAATAATGGGATTGAGGTTTTGGCAAAAAAGGCATGGAATATCAACTCCTGGCAATTTCTTTGTTGTCTCCAACCCACCACGATGAAAAAAGATGTCAATGCAGAGCTTCATAGACAATTGAAGGTTAACAATAAATTTTCTACGATTTTACATACCTCTATTGTTTAAATAAACTGCTTGTTTAATTGTTTTTGGGAATACCGACTCTCTCGTGGTCCTGTGGTTCGCTTTGTCTCAAAATAACCTCTTGACATAACTGCGCAACACAAATGGCGTGATTTCTTTGTTGAAACAATATAGCAATAATCCAAGCGTTTTTGGACAATACACTTCCGTGGCATTTTCGATTCTGTGAATTTCTTCATTGGATAGAAAGACAATTGGTCGAATCGTTCGAGTATATATCATTTTCGCGGGAAAACAGGCCTTCTCAACCCGGCCTCGTGAAAGCATGTTTATAGACCATTTGTCGGTAAAACGAATATTTCGTTTCTTACCTGACAATTATATCACGTACTGGCTGACCGATACCTTTACCATAGAATTATAAATAAATATTTTCAGTAAAATGATGCCTATGAGAATTATGATATTACATGTCCTCAATATCAACAATATAAACTGTAGAAAAAAGTGATGAATGTACATATCTGATGGATTTTTCAATTTTTCACGACTAACGAAAATAAAAAAGATGGAAAAAACGAGAGGTTCCCCATGTCCAATGAGCATACGTGACGCATTCGAGAGTAGCCGAGAGAGAGCAGTAGCCACTCGGCCAATCGCGTGCAAGAACGACAAAGGGAAACAGAACAAGAGCACTCTTTCGGGCCCCTCACGAATGCTCACGAACACAGTAATACCGTCTGTCTGTCGTTTCCCCAGTTGACAATACACTTGTGAAGTCTTTTTTTTTCCCAAGCTCGCACTATTTTCTTATTGAATAAATTTAACTGTTGAGTTTGTATGGATTAGCCTCAATGATAGACACATGTGGAAAACAACGAGTTAAAATCCTGTATCAGCGGAAATAACGTCGCAGTTGACGCGATCACCACAGAATCAGGATGAGTTTCCTATTGTAAGTGTTTTTTTTCCCTCTCGAAACGGAGTTTTCAACAATATTTCCCTGCTGAAACTCTCGCCAGTTGTTTCATATCAGTGATGATAAGATTTATGAGGTGGTGGGTAAGATGTCATTAGACCCAAGTATTTCAGAGTGAGAAATTCAATCGATTGTTGAACCGGTCGTTTTGTAAATTGACAGTACACCTTAGACGTCCATCACCCCTCCCCCTCGAGCTCCTTCTCTTATCACACAACTCAGGTTCTTGACCTGTGGAACTTGACAATTTTTCCGGACCCCACAGAAGAGGTTTTAATGAGCAAAACAATGACAATAGACATGACAAACATTTTTTTTTACTAGCCACGTAGTACTACGATATTCCATACTGCTGTTATGCCGTACAGATCACGTCATTACGACAGATTTAGTCTCGTTTATGAGTCACTTGTCAAGGAAATGCACTTTCTCACTCTCAACTGCAGGAAATTGATTATGGCATTGTTATGACGTGCATTCCCTTAGTCATTATTGAATGATAATTATTCTCTTTAAAGTGGAAGATTGTCTTCCAAAACATTGGAGCCAAAAAAATATTCCCCGGGGACACATCAGTATGACTTGATGAATCTAAATGCACTTTCTCACTCTCAAGTGCAGGAAATTGATTATAAAATTATTATGACGTGGATGCTCTTTGTCGTTATCGAATGATAGTTGTTTTTTCTTTAAAGTGGAAGCCGGTCTTCCAAAACATTCAAGCCAAAAAAAAATATTCCCGAGGGAACACATCAGTATGACTTGATGAAACATGCTGCTGCAACTCTGGGCTCTGGAAATTTGCGGCTAGCTGTGATGCTCCCTGAGGGTGAAGATCTCAACGAGTGGGTGGCTGTTAACAGTGAGTGAAAATGCACAATGCTCCTTTCCAACATTGATAAAAAAAATCCAAGACTATTGAAATGAAATTAACATTTCTTTTTTTTATCCAGCTGTTGATTTCTTCAATCAAATCAATATGTTGTACGGCACCATAACCGAATTTTGCACGGAAGAAAGTTGTTCAATAATGTCAGCTGGGCCCAAATATGAATATCATTGGGCAGACGGTCACACAGTTAAGAAGCCAATAAAATGTTCAGCACCCAAATACATCGATTATCTGATGACTTGGGTTCAAGATCAGTTGGACGACGAAACACTCTTTCCCTCGAAAATAGGTCAGTAATTCGAATAAATTGAATAGTTGATCTCCATTTGCTACCAGTGACTCAATTCCAATTGTTAAATTTATTGCAGGAGTTCCATTTCCAAAAAATTTTCTCTCAATTGCGAAAACAATTCTCAAACGATTATTCCGAGTTTATGCACACATATATCACCAGCATTTCAGTGAGGTTGTGCAGCTGGGAGAGGAGGCACATTTAAACACATCCTTCAAGCACTTTATATTCTTCGTCCAGGTGATTAACAGCATTGGTTGAATATTTTTCATAATTTTTCATCGTAAATTCACTAATGATAATTTTGATTTTCCTTTTACAGGAGTTTAACTTAATTGAAAGACGAGAATTGGCGCCACTGCAAGAGTTGATTGAAAAATTAACAGCTAAAGATGCACGATGAATAAACTAACACTGGTAACACGAGCAAAGTATAATGTAAGGAAATTCCTCCAAAGAATCTCAACTCACTATTATTCTCTTTTGTTTTCTAATTGCACTCGTAAATTGAGATATGTTCATAGTGAAATTCAATGCAATATTATAACAGACTTCTCACAGTTCAATAGAATATTATCAATCAACAATAAATGCATCTGATTCATATTAGCAGAATGAATGAGTTCTAGCATTTAGCTAGATGGAATTTTTTCACGAATGGAATCGTGTGTTGGCAAATGTGCTAACGAGTTTTGTAAAATAATTGCGTGTCGCTCCATTATTTCATCGTTATTCATCTCGTCCCTCTTCGATTCAACTATTGAGAAGAGGAATTTAAGGAAAGTTGCATATTCTTTTTATAATTTATTGTGTTCTTCTTTTTCCTTTTACCGCAGTATGAAATTATAAGGGGTTTCACTCGAGGATTTCGAACTTTTAAGATACCTACGTTTCGTGACGACGTTAAGTTAATTTTGTTTTCTATTATTATAATTTTCCGTTGTTTAATATCACTTATCATTGTTAGTAGACAACTAGTAAAATTTTATTTAGATAAATGCGTTCATTTCACATCGAATTTTCACTTAGGCGATTGCATTATCTTCATATTTCTTAATTATACACACATCATTATTATTTTTATCATTTCGAATATTTGTTCAAGTATACGTCACCCTGATAATCAATGATAATGGACACACCATTTGACGATTACAATACAAGGTCTGTGAAACATGAAGCTATTACCGTAAAGCACGTAAAATAACTAGAGTAACAAGAATAAGAACGACGAAATTACAATTAGGTATTGGGTGTGAGGATCAAAAGGAAAGAAAAGTTATATATTTTATATATAAAGCCTTTGCGCGAATTTTCTGGATACAAATTTGCCTGTAAATAGCCATTTGAGGAAGGAACAATTTTTTTATCAATCGGTGTAGACTTGGCGCTTCACAAAGTGTATGTTCATTAATGTGTGGCATTGTAACTGTCGATTGATCGCTTCGAACAAAGATACATGCATTGAGGCAATATATTTAAAGATACCGATTCAAGTATAATTTATTCAAACAGTACTTAAAAGTTGTGCAGAGTGAGGCATATGCCATGCATACAATAAAATCCTCTATTTTTCAGTTTCAGCGCTTGAGTTTATCATGAATATAATGGAATTTCGATAACCGACGATATTAATCAGTAATAATATACCAAATTTAGGGTAAGCAGACCAATTGATGAACGGTTAAGGGGAATCTATGGTTTTTCGAGAGATCAAAAATCGATCAATCACATAAATGAGACAATGACGGATTTTCTACGTAATAAAATATATATTCATGAATAACAAACGATCAGTGTTATTCAATACGAAAATTGATAGCACGATTCCTATTATATTATTTATAAAATACTTTAAAAAAAGTCGAAATCGTGCATCTTTTGGCGGGTGTCTATCTACTGGTCTGCTTTTCCTATAGGAAATTGGCTTGTGATTGTGTTAACAATGGAACGTATGTCAACATTAATTTGATATTAAATTGAAGATTTACGTTCTCCGGGCATTTACCCATTCAATAAAACTCATTGCATCTAATCTCGCGCTATATACGAGTAGTTTTCGAGCGGAATAAACGCGTTTTTAAAGACAGAGTGAGGAATATACATGGAGAAAAAAGTTGCAGATAAATTAGCAAAGAAGTCAAGTAATTGTGGAGAGGTATCCATTTCAAATTTACTAAATGTGATGGTAATTTGTGCCGAAACCGTAGAATTTACCATTTATGCTATCAAAAATTATTCGGAGCCAGAAGAAAATACCCCCTACAGTTGCCGGAAATTTTTGCGTCCATAGATGTGTTTTGCCGAACGAATCGTAAGATATTCCCCGCAAAAAGTATTTTTTATTGAATTACAATTTCGCTCCAGGATGACCTTTCGTACAATAAAATTTGCGGCGATTTTTAAAATCATTTTTATTCAACTTTTTTCTCAATGTAGCATTGACCATTGCTTCTCCCGGGAAGTGCGCACTAAAGCCCGAACATTGATTGTAAATATCTGGAGATTGGTACGAGGAAGAGCTCGTTGTATGTATAATACAATCTAACTATAAATGTAATGAATTTTATTTTGCACGATAACTACATTAAGAATACCCTAGTGTGACAGTCCCTGCAATAAAATAAAACTTCAAAGAACTATTATTTGGGCTTTCTAATATAACAAGTGCCGAATTGAACAGTTGCTGCAACTGGACTTGAACCCCATTCAAGGAAAATCATGAAGATGCAATTTTAAAATGTGAAATTTTATGTATTTGCATACACTATTTTCTGAGATCTCACTATATGACACGAAAATAATTAAAAGACGATTATATAGTCTGATTTAATTCTCAAATTATGAATTTTTAATTAATTAAGAATTCAATTTTTGGAGAATTGATTAAGAATAAATTAAAAATTCATAATGAGAATTGTCAATCAATTCACAATGATTTCAGATGAAATAATTCCGAAGCTTAGTGCAAACTGTTACTTGTAATCAATTATACACATGTAACTCAGCAAATAAAGAGGTCATTGGTTGAGTAGAATGTACTCTTGAATTTATGAAGATGGGGCGGTTTGAAGGGGAAGGGGATTTCCACCGACGAGTAGATGATTTCACCTCCCCAGCTCCCCCCACAGAACCCCATAGAGTTGACGCGTTGAGTCATTAACAGCACAGTAAGCTTCTTAGACCCCTTCTGTTATCATTCTGTTGCGAGAGTACGTAGCTTGTCTCACGATATATAATATTAAGTTCATAAGTGACAGTGTGCTTTATCGAATATCGAGGAACTAACGTTCATTGAGGGATTAAATAAATTATAATGCTGAATTCCGAGAGAAATGCCACTCTGGAACTAGTTTTCGTCGCGTAATTTCAAATTACCTCATGTATCACGAGTTTGTTTCATGTATTTTTCGTTTGTTACTGCGAGAGATATAAATAAGAAATCAATAGTTTTGTATGACCAGCGGTCGTTACTGATAATGCCTGTGCAGTGTAAATAGTGTTAATTCCTTTGAAAATAAATGAAATTGCAATATGAACAACTCTTTTGGGTAATGATTAATCAATACTGAACGTTTCTCATGAATAATAATATGCACATATCAAAGGAACGAGGAAAATTGAATAGATTTTCCTTGAGAACTGTAGACACAAGCCAAAAATGCAAAATCAATATCTTTTTGAGGAAGGAAATGGCACGTGGATGTTAATTGTACGGGTTCAATGACTGGAGAATAAATGAGAATTCACGTTCGGCGGCAGTTACAAAAGAATATTCAAATCAGAGAGATGAAAAAAGTGAGGGGAAACTGATGCGCGGTCTTATGTACTTAATTACTATCGAAATTAAAGTTTTTCTCAGTAAATTCCATTCTTTCCATTACTAATATATTATATTCCACTTCGTTTGGACGTAATATCGGTTTAAAATATTTTCAACCCTTCATCTCTTGAAATAATAATCTACAGTACATTATCCAACCTGTTTCGTAATAATTCAGTCAGAAACGATTTAATAATTACATGCGAAAATCGCGAGTCAGCAGTATTATGTCAATATTGACAGAAATACTTGCAGTCTACGGTTATGGTAATCGATGTGAATATACTTTATTTAATTTCGTAATTTTATGGCATTTGCGTATTGAGAATAATCCCATTTGTCTCGTTGAGAAGCCATAGACGTCACATTCGTGGAAAATGAATTTGAACAAGAGTGTGAACGATTTGTTTAAGAAACCGAGGCATCACCTTATGAAAACTAACGCGCAAAGTACTATATTCGAGGAAGTGCAACGCTGTAACCAAATAGTTTTTCTTGCAGAAGAAACAACTAGGAAATATGTGATAAGCGCTCATGAGCGATGACTGTCAAATAGGAATTTAGAACTGTGAAGCCAAATGAATGTTGTCTTCCCCAGGGCGAATGACCCAGTGGCACGTGACTTAATTAATTTTCCAACTTTAAAAACAGTATTTCAGTTGCTGTGAAACCCCTATCGAAAGCAGTATCGTTCCTAACATTATTTGGACATTTTGGACATCTTGTTTTATGCGGTACATAGACCGGGGATTCGTTGGAGAATGGAGGCCATCGTTTTATGAAAACTAACGTGCGTTGTTTTACATTCAAAGTCTTGCAAAAAATGCAACTAGGAAAAATGTAATAAGCGCACACGAGTGCTGAGCGCCAAATACGAATATAGACTTGTGAAGCCAAATGAATGTTGTTTTTCCAACTTTAAAAACAGTATTTCAGTTGCTGTGAAACCCCTACCGAAAGCAGTATCATTCCTGACATTATTCTGACATTCTGAATATCTTCAAGGATCTCCTCAACCTCTTCTTATCATTCAAATCCAGTAATGCCATAATCAAAAGCAGTAAATCGAATTTCTACTTTATGAGGTACATAAACAGGACATCAAGCGACCCATGAATACAAATATTCATATCTCGGACATTACGGGGATAGCAGCTCAACACTACGTGAATCTTATATGGACGCGGAGAACCCGATGAGTTTTCAAAAAAAGTGTCACGTGTGTTGAAAATGACAGGGAGTGGGTACAGTAGAAATAGCCATTGATTCTTAGATCAGTTCACCTGGATTTATAGGCTTAGCTGAACGCACTCAAAGAACCACATGTGTTAAATTAATAAAATGGTGAGTTTTATGTGGAGTTCGCTCATTCATGATAACTGTTTCATGACAAGTTTCATCATTCATAGTTGTCACCATTCATGATAATATCATTTGTTCATTTCAATGAGAGATTAGTCTCATTACAGAAAAATTACCAGAAATTTTTATTTTCATTTGGTTTAAACCTTCTCCCGTCGAATAGCAATATTTTTGCAGAGGAATCCCTCTGTTATATTTAAAGTGGCAGTGACAGCGGTATTCTTGAGAGTCTGTCAACACTTGTGCTCTCCAAACATTGACATCATGCCTAATCATACACATATACGAACTAAAAATTATCAGGATTTAGTGAACGAGTTATTCAATCATTTTTCCGCATTTCCAGAATTCGCAGATCAGTGCTCACGTGAATTATGTCAAGATACTAATTTTCCTAATTGCGGGAATAGTCCAGATCGTAGTATCTCATAAATAACTATTCTTCCTCCTTAAAAATTAATGAAATATCATCATGATTCTCAAGTCAACAATTTCTTTACATTCAAGATGAATGAATAATACATGGAAATTATAATGGACCTTCAGTTTTTGTAAATTGATGCACGTCGATGAAACTATTCCAGCCTGCGGAGACAAAAAATGCAAAAAATATTTTTAATGAATGAAAAAAAAAAAAACTAAACAAATTACTGTAAATGTTAACATGGATTCATTTAATCAGATCCGAAAATTTCCGGTGCCAGCAAATGAGTGCTTTCGAGTTGGTCGAACTGAATGCATTTAATTTCATTTTGTTAATTTTTTGGTCCGTTTAGTTTATTATTAATACTAGTTGCAGATGCAATTTAAAAATGTATAACATAGCTACAATTTCCGAAGATTGTCACCCGTACATTCGATAATTCCTTGCATAATCCTTCAACTCATCTCCCGCGAAATACAAATGAGCAAATACCGTGCAGATTTTTTTTTTCTTCTCCTCTAGTCACTTCACTTACACAACATTTTTAATGCATGCCTGGTCTACTCTTCAGTTTGAATATGTTATCGGCTGACCATTACATATGTACATTTTTTCTGTGGATTCTTCACGGGGCCTCCGACAGAATGAAGACGTCACGTCGGTGAGTCTTTCAACTCCCACACAAAGACACAAGGGGCCGACGAGTTCGGGACCCTAGGCGAAAGAGGTTTGACTAAGTGGTCCCCACCATATTTCAGGTATTTCGAGCGTGGATCCATTGTCACTCCTTTAAGTATCCACTGCGTCCTCACTCGGACTTTAGTGCCGAGCAATCGGTTCCCATGAGCCTGGGTATTCGGTGTTATTGAAAGTTTTCGCAATATTATTGCCAATGTTTTCGAGCGTTAAATTAACAAGTCGTTTTCATTTTTCATCGTTCGCTTCTTTCGTTATATTATCGCCAAGTACGAACTCACGTGGAGTTGTACAAACTGGTCGGGGCTGACATGGTCTGACCAGTGAAGTTTTCCCATTTTTTTTATCTCGAATTGGAAACTAGTTTTTCTAGAATTCGGTAAAAACGTGTCGTTGACATTGCAACATGTGAAAACGCGACGGGGAACGCAATTCTCGAGTAATTATAATAGGTCTTGTTTTATTTACGTCATCCATTTGAAGGAAGGAATTACTGTGAAGAACGTACAGAGAAGGGATTGATAGCCAGTGCGGAAGAAGTGGAGAACGGTTTTTAGATCATCTTAGTATGAAAGCGTGAAATTTCCAAAATTTCGAGGATGCGAGCGTGAAAATGAGGTCAGGAAAGCGTCGAAGTATCACGTAGAGATTAATCAACGAGGATCGGGCGGAATAATGGCGTTGGAACTGTCATTTTTGGTGGTACTGTGCAGTGAGATGCGCTTGAATGATTTTTCAGTAAGTATAAAATTTCCCACGAAACTCTTTTTCATCATTTCTCTCGAAATTATTCACTACGGCGATTCAATTGGGTCTTTAAATTCTTCCACATGGTTTAATAATCACCCGACTGATGCGTCAATATTTTTTTCTTCCCCCTCAATGCCCAGAGAAGAAGCAGGGGAAAATTGTCTAGTACTTTTACGACAGTTTTTGTCATAGTGTCGATCATTTGATTCAATCCACGTTTTTTTATCGCTCCGCAGAAACATGGTGTACGACAAACCGTAATGAGCGATTTATCATGAGCAAAAACATGTCACCGCGACGTGCAAAGTTCATCTTCAGACCCATCGGCTTCAATAAGCGCGACACTACATTGGACTCTATTCTAGTGGTTGATTAGATTATCGATCCAATTGTCTTGAATCATCCAATTATTTGTTACAGGAGGTGTTGAACGCGATTATCAAACGATTGATAAGATTTTTTCTCTTCCTGCTGGGCTGTTTCACTATCCCCGTTCTCCGATTGCGGGGATTGCGAAAACAGAGGAGATGTCCACCCATTGGGAACAAAATATTGTACATGTCGGCGACGGAATTGGCGGCAAAAATCCGTAAACGAGAGGTTCGAGATTTTTTTCCGACACTTTTGTGAGCAGATCCACGCCAAATTAGCGGGACAAAAAAACCATTTTCAAAAAATCATAACTCTCTCAATGATAAATATTTTTCAGTTTTTCTTTCTTTCAATATTTTTGTCTAATCGCCATCTTCTCAAGAAAAAAATTGATAAAAAAATCCCCAGCATGGATTTGTTTGTTCTGCTAATTTCGCGTGGATCTGTTCTCGTATTTTTCCGCCGCTTTGTTTGTCTTATTATCCCATTTGTGCATGAAAAATTAGGTGGCTTGTGAGGAAGTAGTCCAGGCATACATCCAAAGATGTCGAGACGTCAATCCAATGTTAAACGCTATTGTTGATAATCGATTCGATGCGGCCTTGAAAGAAGCACGTGAAATTGACGTATTCCTGAAATCAAGTGATAAAACAGAGGAGACGTTGAAGAACGAAACTCCATTACTTGGTGTACCAATTACAGTTAAAGAGAGTATTTCAGTTGCAGGTGAGACCTGTGCATGTGATTTTTTAATATTTCCACACACTCCTTTATTTCTACAATATTCCAAGGCTATTATTCGCTCGCCTCAGGCACCTAGATGCAATCCATTGGCTCTCATGACCTCTATATGAGGCAAATAAATAATCAATTAAGAGTGCACAGATGAAAAAAATCGGAGGTTTTTATTTCACTCAGTAATTCTTCACGTCCGACAATTGATGGCCTCAATCCCATGTAAATGAAATGGAAATTGAACAGGGAAAGTCGGCGTTGATTGGAATGTTAAGAGGGTCAAATGTTGATAGCCTATTAATTGACATTGGCCGTCGATGTTTCTTTCTGATTGTCCGGGTGGAATCAATACTGATATTTTCGATAGACGACTCCGGAATTTTTGAATAGTTTCTTTGAAATGAAGATGATAGACGACTGCAGAATTTTCAAATAGTTTCGTTGAAATGAAGAAATGATATAATGTAAATACTGCTGAAATAACTTTGAACACACTTAATAACACTTCGTAGAATTTACGATTTCGCCATGATTTTGTGAGAATTTCTATTAACACATTCCATGAATTGAGAGATTTGGCATATATTTGTGAAATAGAGGCCATGAAACTGGTGAGTTATAAACTCATGTACAGAAGCTTTACTTCAGTTTTATTATCAACTGCAGAATTCTTTCATGCCATGTTTCTCTCCGCAACACATTTTCGAATATAAAAACATGAAACTCAGAATTTCTAAGAGGCCAATTGAAATGTTGTTCGTGTGGTATTGCGACCTTCGCGTCGCGGTTTTTACGATTTTTGTGTAAATAAGAATCCACGAGACGATGTATTTATTCAGTAAATTGTCCGCGAACAGGGATGAGTCATGCTGCTGGACGTAGAACGAAGGAGCCAATACTTGCACTCAACGATTCTGACGCTGTGAGACGTGCTAAGAAGGCAGGTGCTATACCACTGCTTGTCAGCAATACACCGGAGATGTGCATGTGCTGGGAGACATTCAACAACGTGACTGGTACAACATGGAATCCTTACGATACTAATAGAACACCGGGTGGCTCTTCGGGTGGCGAAGTACGTCGATACCAATGTCTATCGATTTTTATATCAGCAAACATTTTTCAGGATGGATAATTTAATAGTTAACTTGAGTTTTCACATTTGAATAATCTTTTTCGATTGAAGGCAGCACTTGTGGCTTCAGCCGCATCAGTACTGAGTATCTCTTCGGACATTGGGGGGTCTGTGCGTCTGCCAGCATTTTTCTGCGGTGTCTTTGGTCATAAACCTACACCAGGTAAATTCATATGCAACGGCGGGTGGGGCAAAATGGATACTTTTGACTCTTTTGAAATCTTGTTGAGTCATTGAGATTTTTATCGAATGGGATTTTTTTTTTCCCGTGGAGAGCACAATTCTTCCGTTTTGCGATGAGCCTAGGCTGAATTCAATGGATCAACGATGAAATTTTGTATAATTTAGGCAAATAATTAATTTTTTTTTTAAATGCCTTACTATGCGTTCTTGAATTGAATTTGATGGTGTTGACAAATATTTTGTTATCTCTCTTAGATTTCAAGATATCCATTAAAAACTGGCCAATGGTCAAATTCTAAAATTATTTATAATTTTAAAATTATATACCTCTTGAAGGGAAGGAGCCACGGATTTTAAGTTTCACCGGATCGTTAACCGGAAAGTTAAGAGTCTATTTTAGCTCACCCTCCCCTACCTCATCATTGCTAATTGGAACAATTCAATTGATCATCATTAATTTGCATTCGCCTCTGTTTTCATTCATTCATTTATCGAAATAGAGTGGGTTGGGGCGGACGGGCATTTTCCGGACTGCGATGATCCCACATGGCCTGCATTCTTCACTATGGGCCCCATGGTCAGATACTCAGAGGATCTCGTCATGTTCCTGAAAGTATTGACGCGGTCCAAGGACGCGGTTGCACGACTGAATGAAGAAGTAAACTTAGAGAATTAAAATATCATCATCAATGTTGTTGAAATTAATCATTGAAATCTTCAGGTTCAACTGTCGAACATTAAATTCTACTATATGGAGGACATTGGCTCTTCGGCAGTGGGCAGTGTTGATGGAGAAATTATTCGAGGAATGCGAAAGTTTTTTAAACACTTGGAAAATGTTCAGGGGATCAAAGTTCAACAGGTATATGGGGAATACACTCTTTAATATTCATCTTCGAACGAGTGGTTCTAGAAAAAAAAATGACTGAAGAATGTTTTGTATCCGAAAAAAAATTTCTTATGAATAATTCCTCTTCACATGTTCCCCTAAAATCACTCATCATCGAAATAATTCAACGTTCAATGGTCTGACATATGTAATGTATACTTCAGATTGAAATACCGGAAGTGGCGTATGCGTTCGAAGCCGCAACGTCAATGTTAGTGCAATTGGATGGAGTGGATACCATTTATAAAAAGGGGGGAAACCCTCGAGTAAGTCCACACAATGAGAGCTGGGAAATTGAAAAAATTAATTACCACTCATTTCTTCGTTGATCTTTTTTCAGGAATGGAGAAGTGTCTTCGTCGAATTTCTGAGGTACATTACCTTCATGTCACCCCACACATTCCCCAATTTATTCTACGGAATATTGAAGAAACTCGGGAATGCACTACCCAGTGGCCATTACAAGTGGTACGAAAAGAAGAATAATCTCATAAAAAAACGTGTCCGAGTAAGATGATTTTCATAAATTATTCTTTCCGAAAAAACTATTAGTCGAATGAATGACAATTTTTTTTGGAAACAGGAGATACTCGGTGACGACGGAGTTCTCATTTTTCCATCATTCACATCAGCTGCACATTACCCTTACGAAATTTACCATAAAATTTGTGACACTTCGTACATGATGATTTTTAATTCCATTGAACTTCCGGTCACACAATGTCCAATTGGTCTGAATAGAAAGGGTCTGCCAATAGGACTACAGGTTATCATTTATTCTTTTATTTTTTATTTCACTACTGGTTCTCAACAAACGTGGAAAACTGTACGTGAAGATGAATCAAAGTATTTAATTTCACTGTTTGCTCATATTCTTCTTATATTCTTCCAGATTGTGGGCAATACTGGACGAGATAATTTAACAATAGCTGTAGCTCGTGAGGTGGAGAGAGCTTTCGGAGGCTGGCAAGAACCCCCAAGCACTGAAGTAGTTGTTTAAGAAATAGCACTAGTGCAAACTCCCGTCAAACCACCAATGGCCAGTCTGATGGATTGGATTTGATATTTTAATGATAAACGCGTGAATGAGAGCCAACGGTTGACACCAAATATCTGACTTTTTTCACGATGTCTCTGTGAGAATTTTAAACATTCAGTAATTACTCAAATTGTTTGTAAATAACGAAATCTTAAATAATTTAATATTGAATATATTTCCAAGTATCATTGAAATGTAGAATTACATGCCCCGGGATACCGCATAAATATGTTACTGTAACGATATTCACTGTTGCATACAACAAAAACCTGAATCATTTTTAATAAATAGCTTCTTAATAATTCTCTCATTATGCTACTCGAAAATTATGCAAAAAGACGATAATCCACTCATTTGAAATAGAAAAGCTCACTGTCTTTTCCCTAAATCACTGTAAGTAACTACAACAGTTGAAACACTGTTTCATTAATGGAATCAAATGAATTTTCTATCGAAAATATAAAGAATACAACTCTTCACTTTTTACGATCACCAGGATTTGTGTATGGTTTACCACCGTGCCGATCCCATTCTCGATTGAACTCGTGCTCGAGAATCTCTGCACCTCGTTTTCTGGTTAAACCAGTCTCGTCGAGGCTCAACTCACACATTTGCATATCATCGATACCTGAAAATTGTTAATTTAGTGAATAATTTTGAAATACAAAATGCGATAATATTTTTTTTTATCCCGTTTCATCACTCGAATAGTACATATATTTGTACCTGCAGTAAGAAGTATGGGAGGTTTATCCGGATGTAACTCCATCTGTCTCGCTACATATTGTCCATCGAAATGTGCATACCACCAACCGCGTTTACCAATTGTGGTTGGATTTTCAGGTTGTGGGGCAACACCAGGACGTACGAAGGGAATGCGGAAGAATCTCTGCGATGATTCAACTATTTGCTGTTTCAGGGGATTGCGTGGAGATTTAGCTGCTGTAATGGAGCAAATTACGATGAATAAAATGAGCAACTTGCAATATTTTCTGTAGAAATTCCTCGGCTCAAGTTTTTTGTTCGATTTTTTTATGAAAAGAAAAGACAAATAAGGCGACAAAAACTTTGAAAATCGATGCCCAAAAAATCCCATAGAAATAGAATAGAGTTTCTATTGAATCGTCTGGGATTTTTTATGAAATTATTTCGTGCATGTAATAATACCTGCTTCCATTATCGACTTTGGTGCTCTCTCGTTCTCATACATCGTAGTCCTCCTACGATTCCTCGCCTTCCAGGCGTGATACACTTTCAGTCGACGGTGGAATTCATGACGACAGGCCTAAAGGAAGAGCAGTAATTATTATCTACGTGGCGTACATCAGGTTTCAACAAGGAGAATAAAAATTACCTCAAGTAGTTCAATATCACATGACGTATTGATAGCATCGCGCAGTTCGGAATATTTCCACTTTGACAAATCATATTTTTTGTTCGCCGTCATTGCTTGATGATTTCGCACTTGCTCTGACCTGTACGAGAAGCAAAGGGTCGGAATATCAGGCACAGGCACGTACATGTAATTGTATTAACAATTCAATGGATGAATAGTAAAACAGAATGAATGGACATTTAATTGAGGTGAGCGATTAATTTAATTGATATGGAGAAATGCATTCATGAGCACTGAGGACTTTTTACGTGAAAATTGCAAGGACATTATTTCGTTATAATTAATTCTACCCCAAGAGTCATGCATTTATTTTCTATGTATAATGATGATTAATTCAACGCTTGAGGTGAGATTAATGGATGAGAAAGATGATAGCAAGCCGATAGATTCTGGCCAATTATAATTGAGACTACATATGCACTTTTAATCCATGAGTTATAATTAATGAAGCATTACTTTCCAAATCAGTGAGAGGAAGAAATTAGTGAATTAACCCAACTGTATCTTGAGTGAAAATTTAATTAACAATCTAAACTTAATCGAATCATGCAAATGCAAACACCCGGAAACATTTCTATACCTGATGAGCCTGTTGTTGTTTGTTGTGGAAACCCGCGAGTCTGAGCCACTGTGTAATTACAATAAAATTTCGATTGTGAATTTTGGGTTTTTGTCTTTGTACAGATGGTCCGGCAATGCCGATTATTCGAATCATCATACGATGCTTCATGTGCACTATTTATAACAATAAAGTTATCGTGTTAATTATGAGAGTGAGCGTACCTTCGGGGGAGAGGGGGAGAGTCCTCGACTTGTCCGTTGGACTCCTGGGCAAGTCGAACAGCCAGATCATGGTCTCTTCGTTCTTGCTCCAGGACCTCACGGTATCGACTCTCTTCGATTGCTTCCGTCTCCAGTTCAGCCTAAAAACAATTTAACAAATTATTTCATTCTGGAATGGTGATTATTGTGTATTAGCCTCGGCGGTCTCAAGCACTTTGATCACTGCGGAATATAATTACTATTGTTGAATCCAATTTTTTAGTTTTTTTGAAGGAATAAAAGAAAACCCCTATGAGAAAAGTTTTCCATTTCAATCTCTGAAGACCGCCGAGGCCAGTACGCCGTTATGATTCCAAAATGAAATACTTCAATGATTGAAAAACCTTATTTCAATTCTCTCCTCTTCTTTAAATACCTGTAGAGCTAGTGCAGTCTTCTTATCCTCTTCTTCTTGCCTCTTCCTGTTCTCCTCCTCCGCCTTTCTCCTCGCCTCGATTTCAATCTTCTTACGTCTATTCTCCTCCTCCTCTTTCTTCTTCAACAGCTCTTCCTCCTTACTCCTCTTCTCCGCTTCAATCTCCTGCTGCAGCTTAGTCAATCGCTCCTGCTCCTCCTCAATCTTCTGCTGTTTAACCATGTCCTGAAGGGCCGACATCAGCTGATTGACTCCATTACTCAATTTCGTGCACAACGCATCAATTTCCACACCTTTAATCCTTTCATTGTGCCGAATTGTATTAATCCCCGAATCAATCTCCGATTGCAGATTCTCAATGTCTTTAAGACTCTTGTCCCTCAGCTTTCTCAATTGATTCGTGATCTCGTGCATTCTAATAAGCTGGCTCTTCAAGCTCTTCATCTTGACGATCCCCTTGATCCTCGCCTGGTGATGTTTCTTCGCCAAATACATACGCACTGTCTTCTGAATGACAATGAGGTGATTCCTTCTGTAAATAATCTTATTCTTCAATTTGATCACCGACAGCGCGCAGAACTGCAATTTATTCCATCGCGACCTCACAAGCCACTTCTTAACATTAGCCACGAGTTTCTGTAGATTCTCAGGATCTGACTTCATTATCCTATCGAACTCCGCGAATTTCCCTGGCTTAAAGAAGACCCGTGTAATTCCGAACTTAAAGTCTCGCTTGCTCAATTTGAGACTGTGCAGGAGAGCCTCGCAGAAGAATCGGGGATCGAGTCGTGCCAATTCCGGCGGCAAATACGACTTGTACATATTGTAGAGTTCTTGGAATGGAACTCTACTGGGGTAACCATTCTCCATGAGTTGCAGGACAGACGTCATGCCTGAACAGCGGAGCTGTCCCAGAATGCTTCCCCCATCGAACTGATGGTCCACCATCTCATTGTTAGGCTTGATGCAGCGTACGAAATTCGTTCCATTGCTCTTTAGCTTGTCCATGAGTTCTCCAAGCTGAGTTTTAAATTTACTCCCAACACTGATGAACGTTAATTTCCCCTTCTGCGTGGGTAGTTTCGCAAACTGCGTCCGCAAGAAGTGATTTCCACTCTCTTGAATGAGCCCCTCGAGAGACGCGTGCAGTGCATCATTATTTTTCTCGATAAATTGATTAGTCTGGTAGCAGACACCACCCGCATAGTGTCGTATGACGAAACCCTCGTCATCCCTGAGTTCCCTGTGGGCCTTCAATTTCGAAGTCCTCGGTAATGTGATCCTGAAATGTCCGGACCACGTTCTGTGCACCTCACTCGTAAAATGTGCGAAGCTCTGCGTCGGTAATTTCGACTCTTCATCCAGAAGACTGAAGATCCCATTCATCTTCGATTCAATGAGATCGATGCAGTCTTGATTGTCAGCGTAAGATATTTTTGGAACATTGAGTGATTCCTTCGCGTAGAGATCCTGCTCGTACTTCAAAATCCTCTCGTTGAAGAACTGCTGCAGCTTCTCGTTGCAATAATTTATGCAGAACTGCTCGAAACTGTTGACCTTGAAGTATTCAAATCCAGCGATATCGAGAACTCCGATATAGTAACTCGAGGCTTTGAAGGGAATGCTCTGATTGATTCGTGCCACGATGTGATCGAATAGTTTACTGTAGATGGCTTTGGCGAGGGCATCGCGAGCATTGCTAGCTTCGTAGACCTTGAGTGGCACCATGATGACGGTTCCCTTGATCCCACCACGACTGGTTTGCATGACTTTCGATATGAGCGATTGGCGCAATTCCTCTGGGTCGACTCCCAGTAGTCTAGCTGTGATTATCACAGCCTTCTCTGAACGACCGGAGATTCTCGAGCCACCCTTGGTGTCCTCTGGATTATCCTCAAAGGCGATATTCCCCAGGTGTAGGACAGCCGCCACCATCGTATATATCTCCATTTTCTCGGCTGACGTCAGCCCGAGACGTGTGAACGCCTGGTCAACAGCGTTGAACCCATCAACATCGTCTAGAATGGGGTCGGACAGACAGCCCTTCGACGTGTGGTCCTTGCTCTTCTGACTGTCGTTGAGTTTCTTTTCGGAAGCCGAGTTGCAGAAGTACTGTGTGCACCCGTTGCGAAGGTATTGGAAGTCGTCTGGCTTGGTGATGCACAATTTGGCTCGCAGATCTGGTGGCGCCCCGGCGCACATCATGTAGAAGACGTGGTAATTCCTCTCGTCCGAGCTCTGAAGACACACTCGTGATTTTTCTAGGAGATAATGAGATATGTAGCCCCCGACCACCTGACACTTGTTGTCGAAATGCACCTCCATGAATTTTCCAAAACGAGAGCTGTTGTTGTTGCGTTTTGTTTTCGCATTACCAAAGGCTTCGAGGACGGGATTTGCGTCGAGGATTTTCTGCTCAATTGGCCCGGCCATGGAACCCCAGAGATCGCAGAGGTAGCGGAGAAGGTACTTGGTTGACTCAGTCTTTCCAGCTCCGGATTCCCCGGAGACTATGATGCTCTGCGATTGTTTGAATACTTTCATGTCTCGGAAGGATTTGTCGGCGATTGCGAATACGTGAGGGGGGGTTTCTCCGAGGGATTTCCCTTGGTACGATTTTATCATCTTGGGGGAGTAGAGGTCCTTCACGGGGCAATAGGGATTCACTGCTATGAGGATGTTTGCGACGTAGCTCTGGAAATATTGATCAATTGTCAATCACATTTACGAAACGATTTCATAGAAAAACCTAGAGAATTCTACACTCCTCAGCTCGAATTTCGTAAGTGTTTTTTTTTGTTTTTTTTTTTATGAAAAAAAAAAGTGGAAAAAAATTGGAAAATTTGTGTGGAGACATTCCTATAGAAAATATCTCATATTTGGCAAAAAAATAATAGAATTTTCAATCGAATTCGCTGGGTTTTTTAAAAATAAAAATGGGAATTAACGAACTCACATATATGCGATCTTTGAAATATCGAGTTCGGATATTGTTGAGCAACGTGGCCTCATTCAAGTACATGAGAGCGCAATTGTCTTCGACATCTTTGGTATACTCTCCAGCTGGATACACTTCATCGAGTGGACACGTGCGCTGAGGGAATTTTGGATTCAGTGGTATAATCAGAGCATCACCATCCACCATATCCGCGAATCTACCGATGATGAAACCCTCGGTCGCATCTCTCACCCATACTTGCTGGTTATCCATTACGATTACGCTCTTTAAAAATCAAAATACTTCTTTGCATTCAGTTGTTTCAGGGTAGGCTGGGGCAAAATGGACATATTTTATATTTTTAATCTAGACTCATTACAAGGGAGAAGAATTGTACTTGCCGTAAGAAAAAAATTAGCTCATTAAATATTCATAAAAAAAATTCATGAGGATCCATTTTGGCAAAGAGTGAATATGACTCGTAAAATTCCAAACGCGTGATGTTAAATTGTAAAATTTCCACATATGACTCATGTGCCGAGAGGGTAACATGTCAGAATGATGGATTGTCATCGAGATAACAGATAAGAAATACTACATGAACATAATTGCTCCAATTTCATTTTTCTTTGGGAAATAGTCTAGTAACAACTGCTGAATCTTCAGCGATTATTTTTCCCGGTGATACCTTGACCCTCACAAGTCGTATAACTTCACGAAAATGAAAGCGAGACTTTGGCATCATGCTAAATCTTATTGATTTTGAGGCAACACTTCTGCGGCCTCTTCATCTATACTTGTCTGCATGACAACAGCGCGGCCTTCCACAGCGAAATTTCAGAATTAATATGCCAAGTATTTCTCAGTACACTCAAGATGAGAGCAATTATGGCCATTGATTTATTCTTGAAAAAGAATTAATGTCAATGTATGAGATATTCATTTAAATGATCTATTATTCCTTCAATTCTATATTATGATGATTATTCTTCAGCAGAGTAAACCTATTGGTGTAGAATTCATGAATAGAATGTTAAAAAAGTGTGACAATTGCGCGGTATGTAGATCACATTCACAATTATGGAATGGTATACTGGATTCTACGAATCAAAGTCATCATCTTTATAAGTTTAAGTCATTACACATGGCGGAATGTCGGAGTTTTTAGGCTCCACTTTCGACACATATGTAGAATCTCCCAGCGGAACTGATTACGAAACCGGACAATTATGAGCCAAAACATTTTCACTTTGTCACGTAATGTTAATTTTGTTAACTTCCTTAAATTTTTTTCATTTACTTAGATGTTACTGTCAAGGTCATGGAGATCTAAACTTTGACAGTCAATTTGACAATTTGAGTTCACTTTTCCGCAAAAAGTATTCATCCCTCAATTCCAATGGGTCATAAAATAAATCATAAATTCTGCTCCATTGAAATGTTACGATTATAGCTGATCTAATCTGTTGTTCTGATGTTTCGGATGATAAATGAAAATGTTGGGGAAAATAGGAAAATTAATGAAACGAGATAGACGATCGTTTCGCTTTCGAATTCAATATTTCCACGGCTTTAAAACAAAGCAATTAACGAGAACAATGAAGCATTTTTTCGTTTTCATAAAAAAATGATTTCATCAACAGAAAACGGTTTTCCGTCTCCGCTGAAGACCTGGCGCAATAGCTTGCAGCAAATCGAACAAAGACGCACGGTGAACTTTTGATATTCCAAAGAGGAACCGAGTGAAAGACCAGAACCTCTACGAGCCTCATGAAACAGGGAATATAGATAACAGTACGAAGAAGAATACCGCACGTTAGCAGTTTGTGTGTCAACTTCCTTAAACTTTTCTTTTTTATCTTATTTCCTCGTCTCCATATCTCTGCATCCCTCTCAATATTCCTCGTAACGGTTAATTCCGGTACTGTACGGAACAGCTGCACCAAGAGGACTACAACTTGTTGCGATGAAAAGCAATGAGCCTCATTCTTCTCCTACAATAGTCGAGTATTTCACTACCTCCAAAGTGCAACGAGTTTTTCCAATTTCTCAATTATACGACGGATTCGAACAAATTCGCCAAATAAATTCAGCTCTCCCGATTATTTCCGATCAAAATAAACATTCACCTTTTCGATAATGAGTTTCAACGTCCGGCAGGAAGTACAGGGGTTTCACAACGGATATGTTTGGGAATCAGAAAGGGAATTGAAGTGAAATTGTCGCGTCCAGGTGGAAACAGGAACAGGTGAATAATACGCCAAACTGTTGGCGACACGCACTGATAATCATATTCTCCACTTCTCATTAATACTCTGTTCACGTATTAACCCAGCATCTAGGCTTTTCCCAATCTTTTATGGTAATTAGGTATTACCAAATTTTAGTTTTGCTTCCAAAAAATGATGTTGTTATGATATTCACCGAATTTGAAGAATTTGAGGTGGTGTTTCCGTGAGTATTTGTTTCAATTCGTTAGTCAGCGAGAAAGTAAGAGGACTATCTGTCTCTTTTTATTTTACCCCACCTGGTCACGGCCACTGAACCCGGGACTGCCTGTTACCGTGTTCGTTGGTGTTCATCAGCCTACACCACACATACTACATGAGTATATCTGCGTGGCGCACCAGTGCCTGTACCCATCGATTACGTAGGTAAATTACATCTGGGGGAAGACCGCTGACGTATTCTGTTGCACGCACGATGACATTGCGTCGTCATGGACATTATGTGCGTTTAGTGACCGATTGTTTCGAAGGTTTTCAATTGGCTTTTATGAAATATTGAGGAGGAAAATTATTTTTCCACACAATTCATGTTTTATTAATCATTGAGGAGAGAAAATAGTGCATGGGGTAGTTGCAGCAGAGGACAATGCCCTGTCTTGGGAAATTGTCTGTGTGAGGATGCAAGAGCACTCATCATTTCCTCAGCTGTCTTATGGAAAATCGCAGGTGCAAGATTTGAAAACTGAAGGGAATAGTGGATTCCCCACGCTGTTAAAAAATCTTTACTAGTAATTTTCAAGAGAGTGGCATAGAATTCCATTTGGGGAGAGAATAATCCGGAAATTTCTGAAGATGACTACATTTTCACACCATATGAATCTCCCAACCGGACCCAATTTCCACGCAGAAACTCGTTTTTTTAACGATCAACTACACCTTTTGGACTTTAAAACTTTTCCGTTATTCCAAACTTTTCAAAATTTCCAAAGGATGAAAGATGCAACAGTGAGTTATCAAGACCTGGCAACATTGATCTATATTCCTTTCACTTGGCTCTATGACTAGACTCCTCTTCACTCTTGCGGGTTGAATTTGCGATGTTGCCGCAATCATCCAGATTTCAATTGGTGTTTTTATCTCTTATCCATCGGTATGGGAACATTTTCAATATTGAATACATGGAACACCCATTGCGGAAGACATCAGCAAATCCCTCTGACATTTATCTTTTTAAATACTACTGTTTCGCCACTCTACCACCTTAATGTCGAGCGATTGAATCACTCTAATTACCGGTTTCGCACGTGTGCATTCATGCGTGAGATATCCTATGATTATGCAACAGCAGTGTATCATATAATCAAGTGGTAAAACCGGTCAACTGCTTTTCGAAATTTACTGCAAACTAAGAGACTGCACACGTAGGTTGATTCGATAGATTGGGATCGTGATTGCTCATTGCGCATGTGATTGAGGCAGATAGCATCATACCGATGCCCTCGGAGCAATCATGAGGTATTATTAATTGGTGTAATCGTCCCCCCGTGATCTTGACCGCTGTTTTAATGCAACCACTGCAGTGCAAAAGGTCATGTGTAGGATGATGTACTGACGCATCATAGGTAATTCAAATAATTATTCATGAATGATTTTAGCCTACATATCGAATATGGGAAAACTTCCTCGCGATGGTTTAAAATGGACTTGAATGAGATAAACGAGATAATGAATAAATGAGATAATTTATATCTATTCCACGAATGGGATAAAGATTACTGACTAATCCCTAATATCTTCAAAACAAAACTGATATATGTAATGATGAAGCGGTCGTTCATATTATTTCTTTCATATTTAAAAACACTATGATACATTTGACTACATTTGTCATGTGATTATTTATTGCTTTGGGAATTTTAGTTACAATTTTTAACATGTTTGTTTTGTTATTTTTTTACAGAGGCTGATAAAGCTAAAATATATTTTGCGAAACGCCGCATCTTTGAAAATTAGATTATAGTGTTTTTTTTTTTCTCCAAAAATCCCCGATTCCTGGATTAATTTACAGCGCTTGTACTTTTAGTTCGCCATGTTTACATAGTCAAATTATAATTGTATAGTTGCAGCTACAGGGCAGTACCCCACAGAGCAATTACTCAAATAAATAGCGGAATAAATAAATGAATTAAGATTAATGAAAAGCTTTTCATTAAGCGTCTTTTTTTGTGATGAGACGATTCTTTATAATGAGAATGAAAGTGTGTAATTTCTGTTTTTGATTGCACGAAGAGAAAGTGGGTCTAGCTTGAGATCATAGGAGATAGCTTCTCCCATTAAATTCTTTTTCACCATTAACCGTCTCAGTCGAATGCACCGAGAAACTTATCCCTGTGGGATTGCAAAAAGTATTGACGAGCATGAGGGCCCTTGTGACGAGCTGTGGAACATTAACACGTCATGTTTTCAAGGTGGCAGTGTGATCCGATTGACGAGGATAATATATTTCACTCGTGGTCACTGTTATATCAGCCTTTTCCGCGGTAATTCTAGCAGTTTCAAATTTTATTCCCCATTGCAAGCGTGAAATTGATATTTCAGATACTTGAGAAATGTTTTTCTAGTCCATTGTTGTTCTATTTTGATGAGTTGTCGGATAATATTCATATGCATACACTGCTGGAATAAAGCCCTCTCACGGTATCTCATACCGGAGAAACCGGAGATGTGTCAAGTGGAAGTGAAATTTTGTGTTAATTTGACTCTCAAAGTTACTGTAAATATAGAACTCACGATGAGATTGAGATCCGAGAACATTTTCCGCTCGATGAGGCGGTATTCAACGGTATTTAACGAATGTTACTTTCCTCACTGCCCCGAGATTCCAAAATAAGGAAATTGAGACGTCATTTTTCAGAAAACTCGACAATTCAACAACTTTTAATGTAACATCAATCAAACACTAAACGAATTCTGATACTTCATACCAGCAATAATCCATCTCTTGTTGAGAAAACCACGAGAGAACGTCTTCATACCAAAATGAATATTCAGAAATGGCCCGAGGCCGTTACTCTTACAGTTATCAAAACCTGTAAAACATTCAAAATCTCACCCCGAGAATTCTTGCCCTCTCCTTGAATATTTCCAGTCTGTATTCAGTAAATAATCCCGAGATAACTCCTTTATCACACCGACGTTATCATTAAAGCCACTAGTAGATGGACGAAATATAGGTGAGGTGAAATAAATGATTTTCTCATTCTTCTGTTATCGGAATCAACGAGACAACATTCAAGGTAACACTCTAGGTGCACACGTTGCTGTTTTAGATATGAAACTCTCGCATTATTGAGTCTGACTTGTTGAGCTTCAATACCTCGGACAGAGCAATGGATGAAGAAATGCATATGCAGAAAATCGGATTGTTCAATAATAGAGACAAAAAGCCTTTAATGAACACGCGGAAATCTAAAATCCCACTCTATTTGCACAATGTCTTTATTGACATTTTCCAACAGATATTTCAGTTATCGTTCTTTCAATGGGTATTCGCTAGCCTTGTATTCGCCGAAATTTATATGAATGATCTGTTGGAATATCCTTGAGATGACGTTTCAGCCTTCAACAGGTGTGTTACAAGCGGCTGCTTCCGTAAAATGAACTCAAAAGTTTCACTGTGAAATGCCGTCGCGCAGTGAATCAACTGTCATCACCGGCACGACAATTTTTTAGAATATTCACGAGTGAATAGATTGAGAATTATCAATAACATTTGTCTGATTTACTTACCCGACAATCGCTGAATGGAATTAATCGTGAATACTGTACACGAAGACAACGCGAGCAGCGCGAAGTTCCGCGGTGGACTGTTGTCTGGGCCCTCTTGTTCGATAGGATTCGGATGAGGTCGTGGAAATTCGTGCATTCTGGCTCGCTCATGAGAATACATTCTATTCATTGGTAGCGCCGCCTGAGCCGCAATATTGAAATTTAATGAATTTTCACTTAGTCAAAGGGAATTCTTCTTTTCATTTGTGGACAAAACAGATTCTCCTTTCCCCCTACTAAATTACAAATCTGTTCATCAATTCAAGTGCCGGCAATTGATTATGGCCACGAGGATTAGAATGCAAATTAAATATTTTGAAATTTGGTATTGGAATTTTTTTTTAGGAAAAACTGATTTTCATATTTTCCTGTTATCCTTACAATTCTCTTGATTTATCAAATCCAATCAAAATTCCCTGCCCAATAAATGAATTTATTTTTAAAGCTATAGAACTGAACTGAATTATAGAATTCAATCCCGAGGTAGACTGCTGACTTGGAATATTACTACAAATGTTAATTTATGTCGTAATTTCTATTTCTATCAATTACTTTGAAAGTAGGAGAGAGTGGGGCAAAGCGGAGCGTTCGTAATTGACTTTAAATTTTGATATCTTTCTTAAAAAAAAGAACTATTGGGATTTTGAGTCGATAACAATCGTTTCACTTTACCCCCTCTTTACCTGAGGTAATAAAATTGCTATTGGGAATAATGAGGTCTGCGGTACTTTTAAAATGGTGGCGAAGCAATAAAATAATTCAGGAGCGAAGCAATGAAATGGTTCAAGTCGATTTTAACTATTGCCTGATTTTCAATATCTCGGAATCTAAGGGAAACAGCAAAATTTTTGTCATTACCGTAATTGCAGAGCAAAATGGGGGCTACAAAACAGGTCGTTACAAAAATTTCGTTATCTCCTTTAGAATTGGAGATATTCCTCGAAGACTTAAATCGTTTTACAGCTTCGAAACTAAATTTTATCACAAAAAAAAAGAAGACATTCACTACCCAACATTTCCTGGCTAGGCATATCTCGTGATTTCATTGAATAGATATTATCATGAGGAATATTCTAGTGTCAATATGAAAAAATACATGAAAGATATTCGGATATTCTTCAACACTTTTAATGCATGAATGAGAATATCATTATAAAATAAATTAATCGTAGATAAAAATTTTATGAGTGAAAATATTAAAAGTTATTCACACGCAACGTCAGCGGATAGAGCGGGTGCTCTTCATCGAATAATATCAACAATCAGCTACAGTTGCAATAGAACAATATGGAAAAGATCGATAACGTCAACAATAAAATTGATAAGTTACGTAAAAATCACAAAATATCGATGCCACAAGTATTATCAACAATGTAAATAGCTCTCATTATGATTGAGAGATATTATCAATAAATTACCGGATCCTCAAGTGCCTTCTTAGGCCTTCATCAAGGTCCACTCTACGTATTTCGCACGAGAAATGTTGGTTCTAAACGTTTGCCCAACGTTTTTTCCTGAGTGGATAACTTACTGAATGATCAGGCTTGGGACTGTGACTTTATTTTTGCTGCATTTGATGGCATTGTCTTGTCATGCAAGTTTTGAGGGCTCGAAGCGATACATTAATGATGTGTATAATATTGTTATGAATGTCTATTTTTCTCTTAGAATGCATTCCATCGTGTTTACATTCATTTCTTTTCATCTTTTGCCATTATTCTTCTCTCTGATTTTAATTTATTGATTGATTTCATTTTTTACCATCTCTATTATATTAATAAACGTCTTTTTAATATCCAAGGGTTTTTCGATATTGTGATAATATATATATTGCATTATAATTTGAACACCATTAATCACGGTTCACTAACTTGCAATAGCCCAAAAATGATATAAAATAGGAATAATCAAAGTCCAGCAATTAGTCCTCATAAGAGACAGTGCATAAATTTGTAAAGTTCATTATTTTCGGCAATCCTCAATTTTGAAGAGAGACATACATTCACGCATTTCAGTCTTTTCACAGGCCTCATTAGGAAATTTTTTTCTCCAACTTTATCGTATCCTGCAACACACTCCATTTTTAACGTTCCGATAACCTTCGCCTTGTTTCTTCGGTGTAACTTTATACTCCATTTTTCCCTCGCAGAAATCGTGAATGTAGAATATCGAATCCTCGCCAGATCATGTCCATCTGCGATATTATTTTTACCATTAGAATTATATCATGAAATATTTAATCCGTTGGAGTGTTTCATAGGAGAACAGAAGAATTCCATGCTATTCTTAAAGGAGGCAATAAGTTTTTCCATCCTCATTTTTTTAAAGACCACACAATTGTTGATATACCAACCTATAGTAACATTAATTATTTTCATGTTGATTGTGAAGACCTGCCTGTCAAAACCAAAACATGGAGTAACTGAAAAAGAGGAACATTTTGAAGATATTGAATTAATATTAATAATTAGTTTAGAATTATTTTTCCTAGTATCAATTATTTGCTGAATTGAAACTGGGATGTTTTTTTTTTTTCGAAAATGCGTTTTCGAAAAGGTCTAATCGCTTTTCATCAACTTGTGGGAACGATTTATCAAAGAAAAAGAATTCCGAAAAAAATTCACTTATCCTAGTTTACCAACTCACCACAGAATTACAAAAAGAAATGTACATACTAACCTCAATAACCATCATTTCCACGACGTTTTAAGCGTTATCTTTGAACCCAAGCAGGATCAACAAATCATGGAATAATTCACATTAGTTCCCCTTCATTTTACAAATTCAAATCATCTAAAATTTGAACTTTGTTGTGATGCACTCCACAATATCACAACAATGACGTTCACCAGCTTGCGCGATCACCGTACAAGTGGCGGTGAAGTTTGCTTAGGTATGCGCAGAACTCATTAAAAATATGAACTGCGCATCCTGCTATGTGGAGGCTGGATTTTAAAATTACTAAATATCAAAGATTCTGCAGAGCTTTCAGAAATTCGAACGAGTTCATAAAATTTCTTGAAATTCGGAAAAATTAGATAAGATTTCGAGATGAGATTAAAGAATGAGGTTAAAAAATTGTGGTGTGACATCTGATAATTATAATTGGTGCGTAATATAAAGACGTCAACGATTTTTATGTCAGAACCCCGTTTGTCGAAATTTCTAAACGGGGCGCTTTGAAATTTTCTCTCGTCGCTAATAACTTCCTAGAGACTCACCGAACTAAACAAATGCCGAACATAGTTGCTGCTCAAACCCAAAAAGTAGATGATCCAACGTCAAAAATTCGTTTTTTCCCTAAATTCACCTAAAATGGATGGTTTCGTGCTCGAACCATCGCCGACATTTCTAAACGGCCCGCTTTAAAATTTTCTCTCGTTACTAACAACTTCCTAGAGACTCACCGGAGCAAATAAATGCCGAATGGTTGGTGCTCAATACCAAGAAGTCGTTGATTTCCATAGATCAATCGGAAATGAAAAAAAATTACAAGTGTAAATTGTCTCCCTCATCGACACTAACTGTGAGCTGTCGAGCCAGGTCGTGTCAAGTGAAAGGTTTTATTATTTTGAGGAAACGTCGCCTGAAAGCCAATGCTGGACTATTTCAATTTGGAGTGGCTCATCCGAGCAATTCAAGTTGTGTATAAGATTATAATATGAAGAAGTACAACCACAGTGCTTAGGAAGACCAACTCAATAATCGCCCAAGCCAAGCCCCTCCACGGCTGGAGTTTCCTGTCCTACTGCAGTTTCACAACCACTAGATGACAAAATCTTTCACACAGACGTAGTTGTGACAAAGATAAAAACCTGATGCAATTTCATTTCCAATGATTTTTCCTTTCATTGTTGAGTTTATTACCGCAATTATTATGACTGAAGAAGCATAAAAACAGTGGTGGGGGTACAATAAATTTCAAAGGAGGAAAAAAAGTGGGCAGAACCCGATCTCTCCAATTTCAGCGAAAACAATTATGATGCACAAATTACTCACCAATATCTACAGTCCCCAAAAAAGTCCGTTCAACCAGGGGATTCCCGCAATTTTCCCAAAGAGTTCGGACAGAGTGATTGATTAACTGCGCAATAAAACGACGAAGTCGAGTGATCAGGTATAAAGGATGATTCTTGGGATTCACAAGCGAATTAAAAAGGTGATTTACCGAGAGATTTTCCCACTATTCACACAGGGAAAACGATTGCGCACGGAGTGTGGTAAAAATTGATAATTACTTCATCTTATGCCAGCGAGAAACATATTCATGGAGAACCATTCTTCTCCTCTCTTTATTTCTGTGTAAATATTAAAAATTATCAGAGGCATTTGCTTCTCCGTAGCACTTACGACGAATATGAAAAACCCGTTATCTATAACAATGGAATACATCACACATGTACATATGCATGAGTACGTGAAATGAATTCAAAAATTCGTCTGAAAGTAGTTGATGTTGCCGGTCCATTAAATTTACAAAACACGTGTCACATTTCATCATTTCGGGTAAAAGAAGAATCTCGTTTTACGGAAATCTAAATTTTACATTTCATCCATGTTTTTGTATTTTTATATTAGCCGATCACGCTATTATTGCCCTCATATTTGAAGAGTTTTGGAATTTCTTATCAAAGATACGCCGAGTTATCTCAAATGTGAAATGGATTTACACCTCACTTCACATGACAGCCCGATTGGAAATTGTCTCCACGTGTATCAAACTTCAGTGGAATGTTTCTTCGTCTTGAAAAACAGAGATAAAGAGCGTGTCCTCCTAATGAACTGGATAACGCTCTTGTACGCTGATAGAACGAAATAATTTTATTGAGGTGTTTTTTCTTCTTGAAACAAGTATTACATAGCTGAACAAATTTCAAATAAATGAGATCTAACGATAAATATCAGTTACTGCTTTCTGAGATACATTTACTTAGATCAAACAACGGAGTACTCGGAGTAAAGTCACCTGTACTTACCACAAGAAATGGAAAGTTTAATTTTTTTAACCTAATATAATCTCCAGTCAAGAAATTTTCTACTTTCATGAATTGATAAGAAATTCGTACCTAAGAGATGATTTCATCGATGATTTCATTGAGTGTTGTTTCCTCGAATGAAATCGATCTTTGATTGAGCTCTCCATATGTCACATTGAGCGGATTTCATGATATCCAAATTTCTGAATTAACACGATGTTTTTTCTGGTGAAGAAATAGAAATTTCTTTCAACACGACATCGCACTGCAATCTCAAAGTTTTTCCGCGCAACAATATTCATCCTGATTCGATATACAAAATGCTTTATAATTCACTTGGAACAACGTACGATCGTGTTGATTGATATAATAACGTGTTTAGTCATAAGAATTATTTTGGTTCCCGGAAAGAAATAAAATATTCTCATTTTATCGCGACAAATAACAGAAACTTAAATTCTAGAGAAGTCCTCTTTCTCCCAATGAAACGTATCTCAAGAAGAAATAACTGATATTCACTATAAGGTCACGTCGTTACTTTGAAAAGTAACAACTAAATGATAGTTGGTTCAAATAAAATTCCCTTTGTAAAAAGAATTTCTTCTGTCAATAAATGCGGGGCTTTGAGTGACACAATTTTGTAGATGACTTGTTGCCTGACAATTCGGAATGTGCCACGTGTCTATACTCGGTGGAACATCACCCTTTGATACCGATGAACAACTAGTTAACATCGTGCATTCCTCGTTCAAGAGAATGAATAATGTTAACATTTCGTAATATTCGATGACATCATTTCGAAATTGGAAATGTGGAGCCATTGTCTAATTGGACAGGCCATGACGATTAGCATGTCACGGGCGGTAACCGCGAATTTTTTGCTGTCAGATGCGCCACAAATTTTTAGGATCATATAATAAAGTGAATTGAATATGAAATTACAGTTCCTTTATCCAATACTCTTTGATGACTATCAGAATCATGGTAATCAATGCCATTTCCAAGGATTTGTTGGTCATAAGAAGATTACCTTCAGTTATTATCCATTTACGGAATATAGGCGACTGCGTAAAGATTTAGATATATTTATTGTGCTGTAAAAAAACGTGCTACATTTTCAATGAAATTGAGATGAAACTATTTCATTTTTCACGTTTTTATAGGGATGGAACAACGACGACTTATAGCTACTTTTTCATTGGTGCGGAGCACGGAGAGAAATATTCAATAAAAATTACGAATCTTTTTTTCCGTAATTCCGGAACGAAATGTGGTTGTAGGAAATTTTACGGAACTGTCATGGAATTTTTTCGGAGCGTTCCGTAATCTTTACTGAACGTTTCTCTCCGTGAGTAGCGTTTCCGATGACAGAAATCATCTGTGTCAGCGAGACAAGAAACTAACTTCACTTGGAAGTAATAATTGCGAAACATTTCCACTTAGTTTTCAACACGAGATCTGCCACTTTAATATTATGAATTCTATGTACCTGACCCTTAGCGTTTTATCTGAAAAGAATGATGTATATTCTGAGATATCAATAAAATCCTTCAATCAATTAATTGTATCTGATTATTCTTCAATTTCATACTTCAATATATTCATTCGCTTCCAAAGGGTAAATTGAATGCACATAATAAAGGATTCAGGATTCGGGGGATGAAAATTCGGTTTCGACAACGTCTGCAAAAACCCCCATCTACCCAATGAATATCAGAGAACGCAACCACTCTCATTGAATTTCGATATTTAATTCCCCATTCGATTCTATAAAGTTCAAGTGAATTCGAGAGAATGTAAAATCACAAGACGAGAGAGAACTGCTCTCACGAACCCTAGGTGGGAGTGTCAGGGTGAACCAATGCCATTTCGTCCTGAGTCTTTATCGTTCCGTAGAATGGGGGAACTCCCTGGGACGGTTAATACCGCGAGGCACGTCGCGGCCCGACTATCTATTCTTTTCGCACGTCTTGGCATAGTGTCAGAACACACTTTGAACCTGACAAGCCGGTACTCGGCGGTCCAGCAGGTGTTTTTGTTTGACAGCTATTGAATTTTTTTTTCAAATTATTGTGTACATATTATCAAACAGGTGAGTGAAGTTATTGTGGATTATTCATGCTCTACTTTCTTAATATTATCAGCCCGTTTATTGTTCACTGACCTATTTGTTATCCGTGGAGTTATGCATGATTGCACGACTCACTACATTCATTCGTATTTTTTCACTAACAATTTTGTAAATTCAGGAGCGAAGCGGTAAAACAATTCAAGTCGACTAGGCTCTCAGCTGAGTTTTCAAGGAATATTTCCGAATCTAACGGAGATAGCGCAATTTTCATAGGAACATTTTTTGTAGCCCTCAAATTCCTTTACAAAAAAGATTATACAAAAAATTTCGCTATCTGCCTTAGATTCCGAGATATTCATTGAAAACTGACCAATAGTCCAAATGGATTGGAACCGTTTTACCTTTTCACTTGTGAATTCTTCAGTTGCATTTGATCATTGAGAGATTCTCCATTACACCCATGCAATAGGAATGTCAGAAGGTGATAAAAAAAATAATGTATTGAGTGAGTCATGGCTGAACGAAATAGGAATCCGCGGGAAAAATTATATACGCTTGGATGAGAACTGATATCCGCGTCACGGCCTCCAAATATTATTCTTCCGTTGCTTTACAAATTGCACAAAAGAAGTGAAGTAGGAAGCGCTCGTACATCTGTTGCGAAATTTACCATTTCATCGCGAATTCAGCGTTACAAACATACCTGAGGGAATTTTATTGTGAGGAGTCATGAATAAATCCGGGTGAACTCGTATTAGAGCCGGCGCGTTAAGGATTGACGATTGGTATATTTGTGCTAATCATTTTCCATTCAAAAAACGCCACACGTCATTGCGGATGCTGCTTTAACTGCTTGGTCAGTGTACAATAGACGTCTCAGAATTAATGAACCATTAAATATGATGGTATTGTCTGACCCTAGATTCAAAAACCTGCGGCGATGATTTTATTTATTCAACATTGAAGTTCGAAAATTGTATTAATTCCGAGCCGTTAGGGAACATTTTGGGGAACTCTGGTAATATAATTAACA